GTGTACTTTAGATTAATTATGCATTGATAAACTTTCACAATAAATAAAAGTCAAATAAGCATATAAATTAAATTATTAAAAATGTAAATCAAATTAGTGAATTCACCGGAAGTATTTCCGTGAAAAAGGTTTACTGCTTAAAAAATTCTGTTTTGAATTGAGAAAATTGTAGTAAAAGGGTATTAAGTTAAAATTATTACACACGCCACTCCACGTTCTGCTTTCATAATAAGCGTTCTAAAAGAATTATCGTTAGGAGAGAGTGAAAAATCGTAAAAGACCTAGTATCTAATAGACCAACAGCCGTCCTGTGACAGGATGCTCGATCACCTAACTACCCTGTGCGGTGCAACAATAGGAGTATTCACCAAATTGAGCAAGTGGCCTGGCACTCTGGCAAAAGAGTTGTCAACTGTCGTTGCTTGAGCTGATCTACTCCTTTGCCAGCCTGCCAGGCCACTCGCCCACATTGGTGAATATCACTAATATCTATATGTAACTGGTTACAACGCGTCCGATAAAATAAAACGATGCGAGTGTGACTTTCGGACTGCTTTTAGAGAACAGCCTGACAGTTCACCGAACTTCGGGCGAAAACAAGGACAATTGCTACTGCACCGCATATTTGGCCGAAAGTGAACTACAGGCGGTAAAGGAATTGATTTTTGCTAAAAAACCCGCAACGATATGCTCACCAGATGGCACCGCATTCTCACTGTCGCAGCTGCCTAGAGGAAGTGCTCACATTCGGTTAAGCTGCCCAACGTATGCGCAGCTTCGGTCCCAACATCTTGGACTGCACTTTCCAACTTGTCCTGAGAAAATTTCGAGTACTGAAATCTGTCGTCAGCGAAATTTTATTCTCCCCATACAAAGTTTATCGCTTTAGCTTAGCAGTTACCATTCGAAGTGGTATCTTTAATGACCGATGTTAGTAGTCCAAGTATGCCTCTGCTGGGGGTAACCACCCAATATTGTACCGGAAGGAAAACGGTACATGATGATAGGAGGTTTAATGGTTTAAACTTTAAAGCAGTGGTCGGCATTCAAACACATTCAAACGATTCAATAAGTAAGACTGTGTGCGTTAAATGCACTGCTCAGCTGCCGCTCTTCGTATACGTGTGAAACACACACGTGCTCGGAGAGCGCTCAGTGAGCTATGGCGTGCCGACCACTGGTTTATAGTTTCACACTGATTGGGTGGTTAAGCTTTCGCTGCTTCTTCTTCGTAAAAAACTATCAATTTATTTCTAAACCCTCTACTGCATGCATTATGAAGGAGATGAATAAAAAACGTATACGTAGGTATCGGTAAACCTATATCAAAAGAAAAAACCACTCCAAGTTATTTATTTTAAATTTTATTTCGTAAAGAAATATATGTAAATATATGGAACATTAGAACAATTGAAAACAGTTGGGTAGCGGTAAACTCATTATTTACTGACGCAGAAAAGCGCTACTTTCTTTTGTTGCAGTTGCAGGGTTATATACAAATGTCATCGAATCATAGGCAACCCAATTACGTTCCATTATTCCTAGTTAGCGTGTCAATACATCAAATTAGTTTGGCATGTTTTTATAATACTCGTTAGTTGGAAAAAATTGCCAAAGTAGTAACATGTGTGTTGAGGTTCATCTGTGAAGGATTTATTTGTAAAAAATTTTAGCACATCACAACCAGCGTTGCCAAATTTGGGCGTCTCTGACCAAATCTGGTCGAATTAATTGGCTTAGGCGGTTGGGCGGCTAGAACAAATTTTAGCCAGTTTTGTAATATGAATATTTTTTAGTGGACAAAAGTTTATTCTGTGCCTACAAATTTGCAATTTTTTACGTAAGTATATAAAATTACTGTACTCTTAATGAAACACAGCTCCAAGTTGGCGTTCACAACTATGGGCGGTTTTACACTAAAATGAGAAAAGAATAAGGACTGGGTTATAGTGGAAGTGACGGTAGGGAGTGAACTGTCACTTAATTATCCATTATATAAGAAATGAATACAAATGATCAGAATGCACTCAAAGGTAAGGTAAAACGGCAGAATCTGATATCAATAGATCTTTAAGAATTCGTCACGATTTCTTACGATTCGCTCCATGCATTATAACCAAGGTATTATTCCTATTAGAGATGCCAGATCGAAATAAAAAAATCGATTTTTGAATTGATTCGAATCTAAATAAAAGTAATCGATGTGGGAAGAAATCGTCAAAAAGTAAATCGATCTCTCAAGATCGATTCATATATTATGTCAAATAACATCTTTTACTTAATTTTTATAGAGAAAAAAAAACACGGAGGTCTGACTAAACTTAATTTTTAAAACATAACAAAGCTAACAAAATATTTTTTTATTTTCACTTTTATTTCAACATAGTTTGATGAAAAATAAAATATTTCACACAAACAGGGTTGAAATTTTGAAATACGTGCCCGTATTTTGTTTGGAATTCAAATATAATTGGCATTGTGCTACTATGTACAGTAGTCGAAAAAATTATAGCCGCACCAAATTTTGACATGTTTTCAAATATTATTTTTGTTGTTATTTAATTTGGTTAGTTTTTTATAGTTCATTCTTTAACAACATCTGTATAAATACAAATTTAAAGGCATTGTCAGACGATTGTTTTTTTTTTACCGGAATTTGGTGCAAATAGTCTCCCAATTATGTGAATATCCAAATATTTTTCTTTATGCCAATCACGAAAAATAATTTGTTGAAATTTCTCAGCAACCAACAGCCCAAAATAAAAATATAGAAATCTGTACAAATGTACCAATCGAGTGACTATGCCTAAAAAATGTATGCCATTAAAAAAAATCAAATCCAATAAATTTTCGGAAAGATTTTGAATTTTTTAATTAGATTCTGAGTATTCAGTTTATTAGCCCATTGAATTCTAGTAGAAAAAAGTACAAGTTCCAAATGGCTAAAAATTACGATTGATTTTTTAGAATTTTTTGTTGAGCACCTACTGTGTGAATGTTGTGTGAATTTTTTTTTTGCGGTTGTTATGGGATTTGGTCGAAAATTTGGTCAGAGAAAAAAATGTTCAGTGGCAACACCGATCACCACTCCTGCTTCATACTATCCTTGTGTTCTTCATTGCGTTGCGACATTGTGCCTTGATTAACACATAACATAGCATAGCATAACACATTTCCATTGCGCACCCATCACAGTACGCATTTTCTAAAGTAATAAAGAACACAGTTTGATTTTTTTTTTATATTATAGATTTTGTTTGATGGCTATATTATCGCATTATTTTCGTTTATGTACAAATTTTTAAATACAACTAAAAATTATTTTAAATATATATGTATATATATAATTACTCTATATGCTATACATATCTATATATACTATCATTTGCGTTCATTGGATTGTTTGTTTTTTTATAATACTACTATTTTTTTTTTTTTTTTTTTCTATGTATTCTATTGTTTTTTCTTCGTACAATTTGCTGCTTTTTCACTGCACGCTTGCAAATACTAATTTGTTCAAATATTTGCTAAGTAACTTAGTTTACACTGTTCTATAGTTTTAGTTTTTTGTAGTTGTTTGTTTTGAGTTTTATTAAGTTTTTCTTACAGTTTTCTTTGTAGTGGTAGTGTGTGTACGCTGCACAAATGCACTTAAATTTCACGCTTTACATTTAACAAAAACAAAGTACTTCTTCTTCTTCAGCATCATCATCTTCTTCTTCTACTTCTTCTTCTTATTAAGTCGTATAAACAATTTTAAATTTAAATGAAATAATTATTCGCCGTAATAGTTATCAAATTAAATATAATTATTCACTATAATAATACATACATATGTACATATGTATACAATACGGTACATACATACACAATTGTTTATAACTAGTACTTTTTTGTTAAGAGTATAGTACAATATTTTTAATATTATAGCATATATTGTTTAGGTATTTTTTAAATTATTCATTTAATATCACATTGAATTTGAAAAAGTGCTTCAACGAACAACGCGCGGCGTACGCAAGACAAGAGCGCGCGCGCCTAGCCGCTACCTTCAGCTATCAACTTGTACATCTCCAGCTGATTGGCAATTGCCAAGCGCGCTGCTTGTGTACGCCGTTGCATACATATCTACATAGTACATCTCATACAACTCGATAGATTTACATATCATAGCATAACTTTTTATATAATTTTTTTTTTATTTTTAACTCCTATGGAAAGTCTTTTGCTTCTCACATCGAAAACCTTTGCCGCGCCGTACGCGTTTCTGCTTCCAGCTTCGCTTTGTGCGCGCGATGTGCTTCTGTGTGTGTGTGTGTGTGTGTGATGGCATGGCTAATTCATGTAGTAGCTATGTTTCACGCCGCATGACTCTCTTCTTTTGTGTTTCTATGTGTATATATATATATGTAGGTATGTGTGTATGCTTATTCGCGTGTCGATGAACATATGTTTTCTTTTGTTTTGTTTTCCTACTGCATAAACATAACTTTTTTATATTACAATAAAAGTTGCTTAGTTCTTTTTCGCTTGCGCGTTGGTCCGCTTAAGATGGCGGCATTCGCTTCGTACGCGTCGTCGTCATCATCATCGTGAATGGCTTGCAAAGCTGCCTCAGTCAGAACTCTATACATACTTATGGTAAATACGTACATAGTGTGGCAAATGGAAGTGATAGTTGGTGGTTGGTGGTTAGCGACGGTGGCTCTGGCCGCGGCCGTGGCAGTGTATGGTGGCAGGCCACCAAAAACAAAGCGTGCAGCAACAACTAGCCAGCAGTTAGCAAGCAATATGACAATAGCACTTCAATTTCGCTGGCCGGCAAGCGCATTCAACTCACGTTAAACGCTCGACAACAACAACTAGTTCATCAAGTTTTATGCCCCTTTTGCGTGTGCTTTGCTGCATTTGCGCTCGTTGTTCTTGTTGCTTTTGTTGTTCTTGCACTCGCAGTTCCTGTTGTTTGTTATGTTGCTGCTGTTGCTTTTGCTTTTGTGCTGTTCATTATACCAAAAACGCCTGCCCATTGTTCTTATTCGCCGCGCTTGAGCTCCCTGCCATTGCATTGGCATTGCCCTCCGTTGCAATTGTCGTCGTCGCACCTGAGCCACTGCCATTGTCCGTCTTAGCAGCTGCAGCTGCCGCCGCCGCCGCCGCCGCAGCGGAAGTTGATGCTTGCGGTTGGGGCGTTTGCGCAGCCGCGGATGTTGATTGTGTGCTCGTGCTCGCCTGACTCAAATTGCTGCCGGTGCGCAAATGTATGGGAGCTGTCGCCGCGGCCTGTTGTTGATTGGTCATCGTCGTCGTCATTGTGCCGGATAATAAATTCGTTGGCGGTACTTGCGTCACACACATCGATGGCCGCCACTGCTGTTGTTGTTGCTGCTGTTGCAATTGCATGACCATCGCATGATGGCCAGCCGCACTGGCGCGAGGGTTGTTCTGCTGTGAATGGTGGTGTACGCGGTAGCTATTGGGCGCGAGCAATTGCTGTTGTTGCGCATGTTGCAAGGGATGATGTGGCTGGTGGGGGTGATGTTGCATGAATGTGGCCGCACTGCCGCCATTCGGTATCATGGAAAGCGCTTCTTGTGGATCGTAAGCGCTATACTCGGACTCAATGCTGTGGTAGATGTGCTCGGATGGCGGACGCATGGGTATCGCATCGACAATGCGTGCACCATGGCGACTGGGGCGTGGCGAAGGCGTGGCCGTGGTTGCCGATGAGTAGTTAGCTTCCATGTCTTCTTGGTAATAGGCGGGCGGTGGGGGCGCTTGACGGAAGATCATACCTGGTGAGACGGGTTGCTTGAAACGCTCATGATGGTCTAATGTGTAGTTGTTGCCGCGTGGTGATAGCTCAATTGGTATGGCATAGCGCAACTTCTCCCAGAAGTAGCGATCGCAGGTGAGAAGCCGATTGGAGGGCACTGATTTCAGATAGGGCGCAAGTTCAGGCACCTCTTCAGCTTCGGTGGACACGTTCGTCTCCTCGATGATCACCAGCTTTTGTGCGAGGCCACGCAGCGCCTCATGGAATGCATTACGGAATTCGAGTCGATTCCACTCGGTGGACAGCAGATTACGTGTGAGCACTAATATGATTTTACGTGATGCGCGCGCAGCTTCGACGATTTGCAAATGGCTTGCTTCTGGTGGCAGATCGCGCTGTTGAATGCACAGTCGGAATGGTGGTCGGCCGTGTTCCAATTCTGCGGCGATATTGCGGCAAACAAATTCGTAATCTTTTGCAGAGTGTAGAATAATCGCATCGTACAACTTGCCGGCGTCCTCAAAACGTGGTTCACATACACGCACGCCATAGTGCGCAAATAGCCAGACGCGCACAGATTCGCGGAAGACGAAAACGATGATTAACACGACGATGAGAAAGATCAGCACTAGCACTGCGGCGAGCAATGGCACGTAGCCGCCAGCGATGTCTTGCGAGGCCATATTGCTGGCACTTTCCAGCAGCTCACTGCAATCAACGCCGCCCGACGTGAGCAAATCGAGTTCACGTTTAACACCCGCATCCACACAGTAGATATCCTGTGCGTCACGTATCACTATCGCATTGTCCGCCACGAATTGCGCCAACTCCTGCAAGAATTGGCAACGGCACGACCACGCGTTGCGTCCAATTGTCAGACCCTGCAAATTGTTGCGGTACTGCAGATTGGCCAGCTGCGCAATTGGCATAGCCGTCATGCGATTATTATCGAGGCGCAACACCTTTAGCGACACTAGCGGCGCGAATGTGGCATTCGAGATGTGGGTCAAGAGATTGTTGTGCAGGTACAGCTCGCGCAACAGTGACAACTGACGGAATTCATGGCCCTCAAGCGTTTGCAATTTGTTATTTTCCAAATGCAGTGTGCGCACCATGTTCAGCTCGTCGAAGGTGCCATTCTGCACGGACATAACATTTGAGGCGTTCAGGTAGAGCGCACGTAAATTACGTTTGCCCGCAAACACTTGTGCGTCCAGCACAGGCAAGTTGTTGCCATCCAAGTAGAGGTCGGTGACGTCGACAGGTATGCGTGCGGGTAGATTAATGCGATTCTGTTTCCCACAGTCTACAATGTTTGTCGACCAGGTAGCGTCACGGAAACAGGTACAATTGTCAGGGCAGACCATTTCGCAGTCGCACTGTTCGAAATCACAGCAGTGGCACGTCGCTGGACAGTGGGAGTCATATTTGCAGACAAAGTCGCTGCTGCTGAGCGCCGCCAGTTGACGTATGGGCGCATTCCGACTGTGCGGCATCAAGCATTCAATGTTGCCGAGATCGACAATGCGTGGATGCTGGCGGGTGGTAAGGTTGTTAATCCGTTGCAGCCATTCCATTGAGCAGTCGCACTCGAAGGGATTACCGCCCAGATAAAACTCCGGCACCGGTTTATCAGTGGCGACTGGGGCGACGCGTAACGAATTTAGTGTAATCTTCGAAAGCACGTTGGCGTAGAGATCCACGCGCGCTAAGCGTGTCTTATCCACGAAAGTGTTAGCTTGTATTTGGTTGATGATATTGTTGTTGATGAAGAGTAGCTCGATCGAGTTTGGCACTGACATAGCTCCGATTTCAGTGATGCGATTATGGCTGGCGTCTAGTGTGGTAACGCGAATTTCCTCTTGCAGTTTATAATAGTTGCCCAGCGCCTCTATGTAGTTGCCATGTATGTCGAGCCACTTGAGATTCGATGGGATGAAAGCGTAATCAAACCAAACCAAGTGATTCTCGGAGAGATTGAGCCACAGCAAGGAGGCAAGCGTAGCGAAGATGCCATTGATGTCGGTAAGGAAGTTCTTATCCAGGCGTATGGCTTCGATTTCATTATTCTTGTCGAAGGAGCCCCGTTCGATGGTCTGTATGCGATTCTTAGCCAGATTGAGCACGGTCAAGCGTGGTAGATCGGTGAACATGCCGAGCGTGATATTGCCAATGCGATTGTCGATCAAGCGCAAGCCAGTCAGCTGACTCAAATTCTTAAATGTGCCATTTTTGAATTCGGAGATTTGATTCTCACCCATATCGAGTGTTTTCAACATTGTAAGGTCCTGCACAGCCTCTGGTACCTCAACCAGCTGATTGGAGCTGAGGTCCAGCTCCTTCAAATCGGAGCAGTTGCGGAATGCTTGTGTCTCGACAATGCTGATCAGATTGTTGTTCAGCGTTAACTTTGTCAGCACAAACAGGCCGTTGAAGATCTTATTGTCCAACGTATGCAAGCGATTTTCGGCGAGATTCAGCGTGTGTAGATTATAAAGCGGCAGAAATGCGCCCTCTTCTATGTGTCCAATCGAATTATTGCGCATGTCAAGTATTTGCAGAAAATAGAGCTCCTTGAAGGTCTTAGCGCCCACTCGTGTAAGTGCATTGTTAGATAAATTCAGCACGATCAAGCGGATGAGCCCGGCGAAGGTGTTGTTGTCAATGTGATGGCTTGTCAACTGATTGGCGCTCAGATCCAGTACAAGCAGTTGTTCCAAACGATGCAGCAAACCCTTCGGCAAATCATACAATTCATTGCCTTGCAGGTGAATTTCTCGCAATTCCTTATTGCCGGCAAACGCATCGGCAGGCAGCGTCTCCAAATGATTGTAGGACAAATTTAGTATGCGCAATGAACTCAACCCGGCCAACGCATTCGGTGCAAATGTGGTAATGTTGTTATGCTGTAAATTCAATTGCTGTAGGCGGCGTAAACGCGACGCACCCCACACATCGGGAAGGGCGCGCAACTCATTGTGCGAAACATCCAAGACTTGCAATTCGGCGCCACCACTGGCGCCATTCAGCGTGCACATCTTCTCCGAGAAGCCCAAGTTCTCAGCGGAACGTATGCGATTTGCCGTCAAATTCAACACTTGCAAATTCTGCATGGTACACCAAACACCCTCGGGCAGTTGGCGTATATTGTTGTCGCTCAAATTCAACTCGGTTAATTCGCGCAGACCGGCAAATGAGCCAGACAAGATTTCGAGCGATTTGCCTGGTCCCCAGACAGAATTATGTGTCTGCACGGTGAGACGCTTCAGCGACATGAGGCCATCGAAAGTGTTGGCAGCGATGCGTTGCATTTTACATGCATCCAATTGCAGTTCGGCGAGCTTTTGTAGGCGCGCAAAGGCATTTGCCGGCAATTCGCTGGCGTAGAGTAGATCGCCAGAGCATTGTATCTCTAGCCGATTGGCAGTTTCGGCTACTTGCAGATCGAGCGGCACCAGCGGTTCGATGGCGCGCAAATTACACTTGATATCGAGTGTGGTGCGCACGAACTCCCAGGAGCATTGCTGGGAATGCGTATAGCTGCTGGTCAGACTGCTGACAATGATGAACAGGAACAGAAGCTGGCGGCAGCGTATCGTTGTCGTTGTCGCCGCCGTCGTCCAGACAGCTAATGTGTTGGAGGTGATGAAGGAGGAAGAACGCATTGTGGTAATGTGTATAAGTGGTAAGTGTTGCGTATATTGTGGGGTACAATTGCAATTCGGTTGGTGATTGGTTTCGGGGTGCTGCTGGCTGTTGCTCTGAGGACTGAAAAAGCCGCTCGCACAACTGTGCTACTTTCTATTTGTTGGATTTTACTTTTTAATTGCAATTAATTGCTTTATTTTGCACTTAACAACAAATTTTGATGCATACACTTGGTAACTGCTCATGGCATATTTGCGACATGGCACACGAAGCGCTTTTCACTATCTTTTGAAGAACATATTTTTTTGGACCTTAAATATGCGTTTTTTTTTCTTTGCAAAGTCACAGGGGGTCTTGAACTTTTTTTGGAGAGTTTTCTTTTGCTGTTTTTTTATTTTTTATTATTAGTATCGCTTAAGTCAAACGCGCAAACCGTAATCCTTGGTGGTAAATGCGAGCGAAGCGATTTTTTCACACTTGCGGCAAATGCGATGTGGCACACAGATTTATTTTTAGTGCTACCAACTTGTATTTTGCTTCAAATGCACTGATTGCACTTCTTTGCTTTTTGCGCTTTTCTTGCGTGTTCAATAATTCTTTATCGGCACTCGGCGGCGTTTGCTTTAAATAAATTCGTTAATTTGTTTTATTTCATGTTTTTTGGCTGATACAACTTTAGTGTTACACTAACTCTTTTGCCTCTTTGAAATTCTATTTTTTTCGAATTTCGACACTTTTTAGTTTAAACGATCTCAAACGGTGGTAAACAGCAGCAGCGCGCAATATTTCAAACAAACGACGAAACAAAAAAACACATAAACCACTTCTTCGCCAACGGGCCACACAGTTAATAACTACTCGTACTAGTTCAACTTCGATACAAAAACGTGTTGTGTTCGTGTATTATAGCTGGGTTTGCTGGCTGATGATGCGCGGCGTGGCGAGGTATGGTACTTATTCAAATAACAACTTTTACTTAAAAACAAGAAACTTTCACGTAAGCGCCGCTATTTCCGAAAACCATGTTTACCGCTTAACGTTTCAAAGAGAACTGATTACAAATTTTGCTCGTTGTGAGTCCGTTGGCTCGTTGAAAATTTTACCAGCGCGCCACTAGTGCTGCCATCATGCCTGCTGCTCCTACTAATACACCATTTTACTACTGCTGCTTGCTGTCAGTGCACAGAGTACTTTTGAGTGTGTATGCGTGCGAAAGCGTGCGTGTTTGTTTGTTTGTGTGTGAACGAACACGAAGAGATGATGGCGGAGACAACATCGACGATGACTAGTTATGGCGACGAACAAACAAAACAGCTAGTCAAGCAGGCAACTAAACCCACACAAACACACACGCAGAGGGACAACAGCATGGACTGTATGCGGCGCACCGCACACAGCCATATTGACACACGCGGGTACAGTGGGAGAACAGTAGCGCTCTGGCTGTGGGGAGCACTTCCACCGAGCTAACAGTAATGCAGGGCAATGGCAGCAACATAGTGATTGTGTTGGTATAGGTGTGTTGAGTGGGGGAGAATAGTGAGTGCAGCAGTAATATGGTGAGGCCATAAGAGCACTAACTTAACTTCATACATATTTAAGTAGAAAAAAAATAAAAACAAAAGCAAGTATTGTAACACAAACAATAACAAAAACTTGTATAACTGCTAATACTTTGAGCTGTTTGCGCTATTTAGTTAGTAAGCTGCGCTGGCGCTCTTTTTAGAGTATTTATGTACGGAGCAGTTGCTTGTAGAGAGCGAATGTAGAATGCAAACTATTTTAAGGCTTATATGCACAGACGTGTTAATGTCTACTAGTGGACCTGGTTGTAATCGCAGTATAGTGTTTATGTTGTTGTTGAAAATATGCATGCTCCTCTTCCCCTAGCAGCTATAGTAACTGGTTTAAAACAATAAAAGTTAATGTCATGTACGAAAATTGCTGCAGACAGATATGAGTGCAGTAAAATACCCCCACTCACACACACGCAAATAGGCAGGTAATTGTAAGGACACAGAAATAAGAGCAAAGGTAAGTAACTACAACAGCAATGACAAACATAAAAAATGCAACTGTATAAACATAGCCAGCCAGCCAGCCAGTATTTGACTCACGCCACCAATTCAACGAAACTAGGCAGCTAACGTCGACTGCGCTGCCGCTACCACTGCCAATGTGCTCTCCCTTGCATGCACAACTCAGCTTTCTCTTTATGGGAGTTGAATGCACTAACAACAACAATAATGTCGAAGTGCAACAGGAATTGCATGCATGTAAACACGTACGCTCACCGCTCAACACACGTTTACGCACACCGATTTACTACCAAACATATATGGATATGTCGGCGCATATACATATATGGAGGTGTCACAAACACATGTGCACCCAAAGTAGGGGAAATGGTGAGTAAAGTCAGTCAAGTTGCAATTGGAGTCGCATATGCCAGCATGCATGGGACATCTGTGGCACTCGCATGCATGCTTGTAGTCATAAAAATTCATATCACATTCCATACGTTTGTCAACAACATTTCGTGCTCGACGTTGGCTCTCGCTGCTCTCTGCTGCTGCAGAAAAAGTAAAATAAAAATTTGAGAATTGCAAACCGGCCGGCTGTATGCTGGCACACACAAAGTCAGTTGCATATCTGAGTGCATGAATGACTTTGGTAGCTGCAGTGCAAATATTCAACGAAAAATACGCTGGTGCAGCAATAAGTTAATTTTTACGAGTTTGTGGGCGAGAAAGATTACAAATTGCACATACATATTTTAATTTTGAATGTAAGAAATATTTGTGGAAAATAAAAATTAATACATATTAAGAGAAAATGTGTGGTTTCACTTGGGTTTTGGAGTTTTGGAAAGCCGAATTGAATTCAAGATACCAAACAAAATGGAACGAAATCAAATAATAAATTTAAATGAAAAAGTTAATTAAAATAAGGCTAAATAAAAGTAAGAAAATAGATACAATTAACAAATAATAAAATGAAAATATATTTAAATTAAATATAAAAACTATGATGCAAGAATTAAATAACAGGTAAACAATACAATAAATAAGGATTTATCAAATCATCAAACCTAAAAAAATATGCAATTAAAAACAAAATAGAATACAAACGTTTAAAAAAATAGATACAACGTTAGTTGAAACTTGAAAATGTGAAACATCAATAACATTATTAATAAAATAAACAATAAAAAATTAAATACATATATCTAAAATTAAAAAAATCAAATACAGTGAAAGCTCCCATAAGCGGACACCGATGGTCACTTACTTTTGTCCGCAATATTAAAATACAAATTTGAAAAATTTAGATTATGGGTTTCTGAATCAAAATAATATGTTCTCTTCAACAGACAGAAACATATTGAATGGAAAATAAATTCAAATCTATGGCGTTTTCATTTCTACCGACAAATCCCATTGCCTGCTTCGCTGAAGCAGTAAGAAGAGTAATGTTAATGAAAGGCAACATTTTTCTAGAAAAAATATATCTTTTAATATGGACTATGTTCTTGTGTACATATACATATCTAGAAGCGCAAGAGTCCACATCAGACTGGAAAAAAATTACCGCTTGTTAGAGCTACGGGTCCGCTTATGTGAGATTTTTTTCATAACTAGACATGTTTGAGTGTCCGTGTCCGTTTATCGGAAAGTCCGTGTATGGGAGAGTATTTTGTATGAAAAACAAAAAAAAAAACAAAAATTGTTCGGTCCTAAGATTGTGTCCGCTATGAGAGCTGTCACTGTACAAAGAAATAATATTACAAAGTACATAAAGTAAAATAAAGTAAAATAAAATAAGTTAAAATAAAATAAAATAAAATAAAATTAAATAAAATAAAATAAAATAAAATTAAATTAAATAAAATAAAATAAAATAAAATAAAATTAAATTAAATTAAATTAAATTCAACAACTTTACTCAGCTTGAGGCCGTTTTTTAAATGAAAAAATCTTGTGGAAAAACAATAATAATTTACAAAGGTAGAAGTCATTGCTGCTATTTCGGAGATCACCACATCTCCTCATTAGACTTCTTTATCGAGTTCACTGCGATTTGAACTCGCCGTTACGGTATTTCATTAAAAAAAACAACAACAAGCCCAGTAAAATTGTTGAATATATTTGTTAAAAAGACATAAATAACAAACAAAATCAAATAAAAGAAAATGAAAATATGGTGGAAAAACAACAAAAACTTAAGTACAGTGTAGTTTTTTGTTTTTCATTGATTTTATTTCAAGCATTGGAAAATTACAATGCACAGCCAAATGTTGCTTGATATTCTCAAATAATGAAGATCCTCGCTAATCGTTTAAGAGCGTTGAATAGACGGAAAACGACCTTTCGACGTCCACTGATGTTAATGTACATAATTTAAAACTAGATATTTCCAGTGGTCTTAGTGCATCGATATAAGTTGCTACTTTTGTATTACTATTAAAAATAATGCAAATTATATTGCCCAAATTACATTTCTTTTTAAAATTTAATTCACTTTTTTTAAATATTTCTTATTCTCCATTTAAGGAAAATTATTAAGCCAAATTTGGTTAAGCAGTTCTACATAGCGTAGCCATAAGTGCAGATTTATCTTCAAAATGAAGATTTTTTGGTATTTTCTTTATTAAAAATCTTCACAAAAAAATTTAAAAAGCAAAATATTGCACTGAAAATGTTTTTAAAATGATTTGTGTATGATGTAAGATTTCTTAAGTTTAAGTTAAAATAATTGCTAAACCATTGTAAGCAGCATATTTCTTCATGACCAATCTTGAGGCACCGCCTTTCCGATAAAAACAAATTATCGATTCACTTGGTCCAAAGTTATGCGGTAACTTTTATATGTACAAAAAAAAAAATAAAATTCCGTTTTTGAAGTAGGGTGAAAAAAATACAAAATTAGCTAAAATTTCGCGTCCCTATATAAACGCGTTTTTTCAATGAACGTAATTTATGCGTAAAAATTTTGTGATTTCACGAAAGCAATATTAATTTTTAGTTTAAATTGAAATAAAAAACTGTATAACTTGAAATTGTTAATTTTTATTCAGTAAACATAATAAAGGCTATTTACAGCCTAAAGCCACTATCGAATTGTGTGCTTCTTTAAGGATATGTTTAAACAAAGATTTTTTTGGGATCGAAAAGATTTTTTTATCTTTAAAATCTTATTTTGAAGATTTTTTTTGGAAAAAATTAAGATTATTAGGAGGGGAAAAACACACTTAGTATCATGAAATTTAATTCTCTACTAGAAATAACCAGTGGTTAAAATTTCTAACATTCTTTAATTTCATGGATTTTATGGTCGCAAATTGGAAAACTCCAAATTGATTTTAGACTCATGGTTTCTTCGACGAATTTGCTTAGGACTACACGTACAATCCTTCTGTGCTTTACGCGCATAGTTAGAAAAATATGCCATACAAATTTACCCGGCCTATCAGTTCTAATAAGTCGAAGTCACTATCGAAATTTGTGGTTCGAAATTTACTTGTGATATGATTGCAAACAGCTGCACTTTTCTTCCTGCTGACCAGTAACCTACTTATCAAACCACATACGATATGCCCAATTGCATACATACGTATGTACATAGCGGTCGAGGACAAATATTCATTATTTCATGTGTGTGAATAATACTGTTCCTGGAATTTTGACATCGGATGTTTCACAGCTTGCTGTCTCACTCTCTCTTAATGAATTAATAGAACGGGCATTCATTTATGTCAGCGATGGGCAGAGAGAGCTTTTACTCTGCACGCGCCTATACAAAATGTATAGAATGCTTGAAAGAGCTTTGCCCGCGGGCAAGGCGGTACCCATCAACGATTTATGTTGAAAACATGGGTTGCCTAGCGCTCTTTGTTCAGAAAAAAAACTTTAGAAAACCGTATTATAAAGCTTAGCAAATTTCTTAAAATCCGTAGTAGAACAAGTGTTGCCAGAGAAAGTGCTCTAAAAATCTTAATTTTTTCAAAAAAAAAAATTTCAAAATAAGATTTTAAAGATAAAACATCTTTTCGAACCCCAAAAAAAATCTTTGAACGTTTTAAGATCTAATATGTTTTAAGAAAAATTGGATTTTTAACTATATTT